AAAAAAAACATTCTTTGTTTCTATAATGTGGCTCGAGAGTCTATAATACATATATAATCATAACTATAAAATATCTAGTTTTTTTTCTTCTCTGTTTCACTTTTTCTCATTTCATTTGCATAAATTGTATAGATTGTAATATAAGGTATAGATCCATATAAAACAAATCTACACATATCTTCAATTATGAGATAATACTGTTTATCATAGCCAGCTTATATATATGTTGTTTTTTCTTTCTGTACGTGACTGATTTCGATAATTCTGATTGAGATATATGTCTCTTCGATAAAACAATATATAGTGACACAAAACTACCTACACAAAGATATAGATTTCATACAAGAGCGTTATGAGTGTAAGCTTGGGTACAACGCAAATGTGTCTTAATAAATAGTCATCAGTATCTTTTTAAACGATGCGCGAGAATGACATCCTCTTTCGATAATGATATGTCCTCTCACGACACAGTACTAATTTCTCGATGACATTTACGCCTGCTAGGCCGTTTAAAATTGGTCCACCAGCAGGTCACAGATCTCTACCGACATTGATTCTTTACTTGAACGTACTGTTAAACGAAACATCTACAAGTGAAAATGTACAATTAAATGAAATTCATATATGCACACAATTTCATCACAAGTTTGAATCTTTCAAGAGTTTGACAAGTTACCTGGGCTTGCTTATTAGGCTCAAGACGCAACAGGCAACCCACTTGCTGCGCTCTCATATGAACGATACCGGCGCAGACAAAGTTATCAGGATTCGGGTCGATACCGTCAAGCAACTGCATTCCAAAACCTTGTAATTTTGTACGTACTTGTGCTAAATCCATCGGTTGCTGCGCTTTGAAAATCTTTTGCGATCGTTGTTGATTCGCCCTGAAAACAAATTTAACGTTCGATAAACCAATCTAAATTGATTCCACTTCTTTTTTTAACTAAGTATATTGTACTTATACTTCATACCCGCCAAGATTTTTCCATCTTGCGAAGAATGATTCCCCATTCATCTCCGTCGGTTCGAAAAACTTGTTAATTGTTAATGGTAACTTCATTGTGATTTTTTGTGGCACGTTATTATAAATGAAAGAGATAATCATGCTCGGCGCATCTGCGAATAAAAAAAAAAAGTATGAATACTATAAATAATATTATACTATAAACTACTGATTATTAGAGATCTGCAAAAATGTCAAAGTAATATACCATTAAAGTCATCGATGCATTCTGCATTGATCATTTGCTGGATCTGAGCGCCAGCCTCCAATATAGGATCAACAGGTTTTACTTGTACGGCTAATTTTGCTTGATTCTCATCTGTCCAAGATAGCTGTGGCTGAAAACTGTGTAATGCGTACTGTGTTTTGTTTCCATAGAAAAGGCCTATGCGCCCAAGATTTTGCCTAAATTCTGATTTTACACCGATTTGTATCAAATCGCTCTCGAATAAGACACCATTATTCTTACAAACAAACCTGGAAAGTAAAGTCAGGATAATAACAAAATCAGATATATATCCCAATATTTGAATTATATTAAAATACTTGATCGTGCAATATATCTTACTTCTTAGGATTGTATGTATTTTGGGTACCATTGGTAGCACCGACTTTATTTGGCATATTGTAGATATCCCCCAAAACATCAAGTAGTACGCCTGTGTTACTAGACGGTTGAGAGGAAGGTGGGGTTGACAGTCCTAGTAGATCGGCGGAGGAATTGTTAACTGCTGCGACAGTAACAGTAGTAGGAGCTTCAGTGTGGTGATTAGTGTTCGGTGCTGGGCTCTTGCTTTCTCTAATTTCATTCTCCGGTACTCGACCCGGTTTTTTCTTCTTTAAAACCGCAAGAATGGAGGATTCCCTCTCGGGGAATGCCGGCATTTCTTCCAGCACAGTAGCCTATAAAAATACAGGTATATCGATTACGAATCTTATATAAGTATCTTTCCATTATTATATATTGTATATATTATGTACCAAAACATCAGTTGAGGCAATGATGCTCAATTGTAAATATTCCGATGCTCGCTGTTGCAATTCAGCATCTGCACTACGTAGATTACTATGCTGCCTGAAGACATCTTGAATCTGGCTTCGAATCTCAGGGAACAGATTGACGAACTTTATGTATGTCGAAAGCAGTAATGCTCGGGTCATAGGAGAGCACAAATGATACTGAACAAAAGAGAGAGTGTAGATTTGTTACATATATATTCTCAGTAATATATATATTATTTGCTGAACATTGGACAAACGCTTACTTTGGAATGTAAGAGCTGGAACTGGACAGCTGGAGAAGACCGCAAGTCACCAGCAATGAGATTACCGAATTCTCCAAGTATGTAACCGCCGACTTTAACCATATTTTCGTGACAAGCTGGCGCTTGTAATGCCTACAATAATAGACATAACACACCTAAAGTAGCTACAATAATTTTAGCAAAGAAAAAAAATGGTATAGTTTACCTCGAAGACGGTCTTCGCAGCATAACCCTGAACATCATCTCGATTGATAACGATTTGAATAACACGATACCAAACTTCTTCGGAGACATAATCGCCTGCTATCCTAATTAAGTTTAGAATAACATCGACGTACCAAGTGTAATCAGTCGCGTATTTTTCGGCTAGAATTGCTACCTTAAGGACCATCTCCTCTCTAATTGAATAGTCGGCCGTTTCCAAATAATTTAGCATTTCCTGAACTATTTCTTCGGCATTACTTTTATCACACATGGCATACAATAGATCTACCGCCTGTTGTCTCACGGAAACATCTTTTTCCATTTTCATCGACAATATGACAACTTCTTGATGTTTCTTTACAGCTTCATGCGAGAATTCCGAGGTAGCCAAATGGCACATAGACTCGAGTGCCAAATATCGCAAATTAGTCTCGCGATTCGATAAAAATTGTCCGAGTTGGTTGCACGCCCGTACTAAAAGATTCGGCTCACTGTCGTTGTGAATAATTAAACTAATGGCCTCAAAGAGTACAGCATTTTTCGCATTTGAATGCTGGACTTTCTTCGACTTTGGTGGTTCTTGAGCTTTGTTTAATATTGTTTCTAGACACTCGTTTAATCTGCCCCTCACACCTGGATCTTCAGCTGCAACAATATAAATGTGAATGTAGATATGCAACTTACTGTGTTTCTAAATACAATATATCTCATATGTAAATTAAATACCTGGTGGTGTATAGTTTTGCAACAAGCGTAGTAATTTGACAGATAACCATGGGGCTGGTACAAAGTAATATGTGTAATCCTGTAGATCTGTATAACTTGATGTGACAATCTACAATTGTACAAGAAATATTAAATAATAATATTCCCATTTTTACACACACAGGTCAATTACACTTTGTCAACTTACTCTACTTAATCTTGAAACTGCGAGACTAACACAGCCTTTGTATTCATCTGGATTTCTTTTTACAAGAGCATCTATGAGCGATGCCGCGGCCGTTACAACACCCAGATGTTGATCATTTAACAGATGAACTATGCGCGACGTCCATTCACCACCAGGTACGACATCGGGCGCGGTGCGTAGTAACCGTAACAGGCATAATGCAGCACTTTGTTTCACAACGTCCATAGTATCTCTAGGGAACAAATTTTTTTTTTTTTGAGAATGGATGAAAATCTAATATATATGATAACTATAAATTGATTAACTAATATGATCTTTACATATCGATAAAAATACTATGTCATACCCTGAGACAAGCAGTTTTGGAATTTCATTGCCAAAGGCTTCCGCCATTTCCTTGCTACCAATATTGGCAATACATTGCAACGCCAAATTGACGTGAATTGGATTACGCGAGCCAAGATCATTTTTTATGCTTTGTATAATTAATTTGATCAAATCACTGTTGGTATTCACCAAGACTGATATGAAAAGGTAACCCTAGAATTGAGTAATTTTATATTGTTATGCAGACGATAGCAGATGACAGGAACAATTATACTTACAATTTGTTTTTCCGAATATTTATTTGATGAAAGTAAATTGACAGCTTCCATATGTCCAAAGTCGATATCATGACCAAGAAGGAAAATGAACAGCAGCTTGCAAACATATTTCTTTTTCTGGTATCCGTCAAGTGTTTTATCTCCTTTAAACTTACTGCGAATGTTTGCTAATTCCTTATTAATTCTTTTAATCTCTGCCTCTTTACTTTTACCTAGTAAATTGGTATGTTATTTGAAAAAGAGGAAAGATACTCTCTCTACAGTTTCTTTTTCTTTACAAAGTAAGATAATACAGAATTATAATTATTAATAAAAATGCACATTTTGAAACAAAGTATATAATAAAAAAAGATAAAATTTTCTCTCTTTTTTTTTCCATGTATATTTTATAATTTTATGCAAATATTGATCAGGAGAAATATACCGATAGAAATATCTGATAGAAGAATTAATGGCAATACGCCAACTGGTTTACTGTATCAAGGACAATCCTTTTATCTATATATATTAATGTATAATACATAATCAAAAATGCCAGACATAAGGTAAATAATTAAAGTAAATAAATCGTAATATAAATATAAACTATATAATATAATTATGTTTTTTTACTTTATAAATATATTAAAAAGGTTTGCATATGTGTTTTTTAAAAAAATCTTTAATTATAATGATGCCAATGTGTCACAGATTGATATTTGAGAGTCAAGCTCTATCAAGAAGATAGGCTTATATCAGAACTCCGCCCCCTTTCTCCTGCTCATCTCAGTGACACTTTGCCTGCTATTTCAATGGCACGCTATCACTCGATGAATGGTATTCCGTTAATAATTTAAAATATAAAAGGCATCAATATATATATATATATATTTACAGGAAGAATAATTTGCAGCAGTTGAAAACAATGATTTGCAATGTCAATATTCAGAAACTTCACATTATAAAAATTAGAAAATATTACATTACAGCATAAATTATAATGTCAAACTACTTACAATTTCTGATATCCGATATGAACACCGCCAATCCACGCATACCATCTCCTCTGACGGCCGGCATTCTGCCTCGTTTGCTTAAAACTACCTGTGAATGAAATCAAGCTATAAAGATACTCAACGTTCGTCCCCTCCAATCTGAGACGTGCACACGATCCAACGTAAATATATTGTAATTGGTATTTGTTAGCATGACGCAACGGATTAACGAGACGCGTGGTTACTCTTATCGTATCTTTCTACACGCCCATCGTTTTTCTAATCACAAAACTATTTTGTTCTTCCTTTCCTTCAGATGTATTAATCGGGAAGTGTGCCGTGTGCCATCCGTGACAGAGTAAAATTCAGCTGCTCGACGAAGTTTGGCTTTCGTGGAAGTGATCGTGTACAAGTAATGATAATTGACGTCGTGCGATCGCGATTAACTCGCCCGACGCGAAAAATTCGGTGTCTGGGAGTCGGAACCGGCGCGACCTATACCGAATGCCGACGGTCTTTGACAGCGGCAATCCGGAGCGATCTCGTTCTCGGGAGACGGTACGCGTGATCGTCGCAATCGACGATGGATTGGTCGACGTTTGGGAAACGCGGGAGGATCGTATCGATCGATCGGAGCTTTTTGAAATAGGAAAGACTGAACGAAGCTAGTGCGCCTTTTCCGTCTCCTCTTGGCGAGCTGTCGCGGGGAAGGTCGCGTCGCCGGATTTTACAGTCCCGCGAAATCCGCTCGGTATCGTGGATTTCGCCGGAGTTCGCTTGATTCTACGTACCGGTCTGGGCTGGGGGTTGTGCGTTCGCGCACGGCTCGGTCGCGGGGCGCACGGTAGGCGTGGAGCTATTCGCGGACCCGTGCCAGAGACTTCGTGGCTGTCGCCATTTGCAACCGTCGACTGGCTCTGACGGACGACGGGCTCTACCCGTCAAAATGCCAGCGCGCATGCGTGATCAGTACTGGCGCGTGGAATTTCATATTTTGAACATACTTTGCCACTATGGACGATTGATCGCCGTGAAAGGGCACGCCGGTGGCTCGTGGAAACTCGTGGAGGGCCGTCTCTACTCATCCGTGAATAAATTACAATCGATTCTCTACGAAAAGTTTGCGGCGAAAGAAATTGATAGAAATTTATTCTCTAAGATCTCTATCGCGCGCATTCTCGTCATCGCTCGAAAGTACGGATTTTGAATTTGCCAGAATGAACCGGAAATGAAATATCTGTTTTTTCTTCTCATACTATCTTAACAATTAGGATTAAAAAAGAAAATGCCTTTTATTTCGATCAAATTACTCTCTCTTTCTCTTTTTGTGAGATTATTTAAAATTATTACCTTAGATGCGAAATACACACACACACACACAAGATTTCGTAACTAATTGGCAAGATTAAAAAATTTGTATTTTGAGCTCGGCAGTTGATTGATCGCCGTTAATATAATGCGACAGACTCCGACGCCGCGTCCCGTTTTAGTTCCCTCGTCTGGCTGCTTTTTAATTTTTTTAAATTTTTCATCAGACCATTGTGAGAAACTGCTCCCCATATTCCAGTTTGCAATCAGGTACAGTTGTAATATGAAAAATATGTAGATTGTTATAAAGAGAAGAAGAAAAATTGTGCGCACTTGTCTGACATAATTCGCAAATATTTGTAATCGAAAGAATGTCGGTTTCAATATATATATATATATATATATATATATCATCGAATCGGTATACATTTACGGGAAATTAATAAGTTTTAATGGATAACGCGTCAGTTTACCTATAATTTCGGCTTTAATATTTTAGTAGCATCTGACTTTTACTATCAAGATTTATTATCCATATTTCATATTGATGTTTGCAAAAAGATGTCAAATAATATGGCGCCCATAATTGGCGAAAGAGAAGTGTGATGAAACGTATATCGCTGAAATGAAGTGCGAGATTACTCGAACAAATATTTAACTTCGTCTTACAGCATTGTGTAAAACAAAAATTGTTTCATTAGAAATCGACTTTCTTTCAATGAAAATTAATAAAAAAAACCTTAATAATGTAATAAACGTAAAAATCTTTTTAACATTCAAGTCTGTGTGTGTGTGTAAAAAGAAAGAGAAAATATCTTAAGCAAAATTCGAGCGCTCTGTTCAATAAATTAGAAATCAATCTTTTTTAATAAAAATTTAATGAGCCTTGAAAAGCAGCCGTTTAAATTCTATTGCTTTTTGACAATATTGTATTATGTTACAATGTACAATGCGTTTTTTTCTTTTTATTTACTATGATTTAATCTATTTAACCAGATGCAAGTAAATTTTTTTTTCTCCTAAGAGGAAATAAAAGGTTATGTTAAACTTTGCTGTATCTTTTCAAGCAACATCTCTATTCTGCCCTTCATGACAGGTTGCCCTTTCTTCGTCTTTTTCGATAACACCTTAAAATTATGCAACTTTTTCTGTTTGTATTTTCTCAAGGCTTCTTCTCGTTCCGTTTTTACACGAATGGCCTCTTCTACCCTTTTCTTCTTTTCCTCTTGCTTGCGTTTGTACTCCCGCTTGGCTTTGTAAAAAGCGTAACTTTTATTTCTTGAGTTGCTGTTTACAGACGTAAATACATTTAATCAATATCAAAATTTATGTCAGATTCTAATTTGATTTTGAGCATTGTACATATGTACCTTATCTCATTTGTATTCTTGGATGCATGATTTAAATTTGATGACTTTTGTGAAGAATTCTGCTGATCCTTTTGGAGTTCCTTGTAATATCCACGTAACACAGCTTTCTTCCTCTTTTCTTCCCACTGATTAACTAATGCAAAAAGGTGAATATTAAAGAAACAGTAAATTAACCTTGATGTGTCATATACATACTGATTTGATATGTCATATACATACTTTTATACTTATTGCTATATTTTTGTAATCTGTATCTTTTTTTGTCAAATTTCTTCTCACTTTTCTCATTTTCATGGTCTCCCTTCTCTGCAAGTCTTTTATTTTTAATATTTTTCATATTTTTCAGTATTCAACCACACGTGAGATACCAACGTCTACATCATACATTAACGCCCTCGTAAATATTGTGGCTGAAGCAAGAAGCAGATAGTCAACACAAGTCTTTGATGGTAACAAAAAAATACAGTTACTTATTTTACCTACGAGAGAAAGAGATATAGATTTTATATATATCAATAAAAAATTATATTACTTTGGAATTATTTTATTAAAAAAAGTATTATTTTATTATATAAAAGTTTTTATTATAAAATTATTATTATTTAAACGAGATTATTTTTATTATATTATTTATCTGAAATGGGTGTATTGGTAAAATATATATACAATCAATTCTGTATTTACGGCCGCACTTGTCATCGCGTTACGTATAAATTTATTCGCGGCAGTGACATTGATAATTGATTTATAGGCTGAGCGATTTATAGATGAACGATTCACATTAGATCAGAAACTAAACAGCAATGTGATCGCTATGTGTGCATTATTCAGCAATCTGCATCTTATTAATAATGCACACAGTTTCGTAATGTATAATTTCGTTATTATATTTACATCCAAGAACCTGGAAAATTTAAAAAAATGGAATGAAATATATTTTCTGTGAAATTGTATTTTTAATATTTTTTAATATTTCTATAAATTATATATACACTTTTCTTTCCCTCTCTCTCTCTCTCTCTCTCTCTCTCTCTCTCGTGTGTGTATGTAGCATCCGCGCTGCTAAATTACACACGTGAGATACCAACGTCGACATCATACATTAACGCCCTCATAAATATTGTGGCTGAAGCAAGAAGCAGATAGTCAATTCAAGTCTTTGATGGTAACAAAAAAATACAGTTACTTATTTTACCTACGAGAGAAAGAGATATAGATTTTATATATATCAATAAAAAATTATATTACTTTGGAATTATTTTATTAAAAAAAGTATTATTTTATTATATAAAAGTTTTTATTATAAAATTATTATTATTTAAACGAGATTATTTTTATTATATTATTTATCTGAAATGGGTGTATTGGTAAAATATATATACAATCAATTCTGTATTTACGGCCGCACTTGTCATCGCGTTACGTATAAATTTATTCGCGGCAGTGACATTGATAATTGATTTATAGGCTGAGCGATTTATAGATGAACGATTCACATTAGATCAGAAACTAAACAGCAATGTGATCGCTATGTGTGCATTATTCAGCAATCTGCATCTTATTAATAATGCACACAGTTTCGTAATGTATAATTTCGTTATTATATTTACATCCAAGAACCTGGAAAATTTAAAAAAATGGAATGAAATATATTTTCTGTGAAATTGTATTTTTAATATTTTTTAATATTTCTATAAATTATATATACACTTTTCTTTCCCTCTCTCTCTCTCTCTCTCTCTCTCTCTCTCTCTCTCTCGTGTGTGTATGTAGCATCCGCGCTGCTAAATTAAATTTCTATCTTTGCATTCCTTATTTCAAGACAAACTGGCTCCATTTATAATAGATTGAATAATTATTCATAGCCCTATATATAGTCGAGGAAAACGAGCAAACTGACGTCGTCGAAAAGGTAGTAGCTCTTTGGTATGTGCTACAAAGCTATTATTAGCTGACAAAATTCGAGACAGCCATCCGAGGCCAGATCCGCTCGAAGGAGATTCTTCGAGCGTTCGATTATTTCGATCGTCGTTCTTTTACAATTCAATGTCGAGGATACGATCGAGAAATAGATTGGCAATTTCCGCATTATATTACGAAATCGAGAATATAAATGCACTCATATAATATTTTATTATAAATCTTTGATTAATGATGTCGATCATGAACATAAACTTTACCCTTATAGAGTCAGGCTTTATCTTTTAAATTTTAATTACATGGATGTAGCGATGAGCGATCTTCGAAACGACCTACAAATGCCGAGAGGTCATCGGTCATATAATGATAATGACACCGGCATTACAAACCACCACGAATGGAACTTGAGGTTAACGTGCGCCGTGGCGTCATTCAATGACATCATGTTATCAAACCCATGGTCATTTAATCAGACCTACGTACGAAACGATTAAACTTTGAGATGTCATTTTTATAAAATAGACAACTAATATAAATTATAGAAATTTCATTAAATTATTTCTTGTTTAATATTATGATATTCAAGATCGATTTACTTTTGACAATTTTGACGTAAGTTTGCAAATAAATAATAATTTTATAATAATTTCTTTATCTGTATAACAGGGCAGTTACGAGAAAGATCGATCGAAAAAGCGTAATTATGCGCGGTGACCTTATCTTCGATCCATATTAGGACGCCTTTTATCGATCAGCGAAACCCCCACGGAGATGACGTCAGCACACTGGTGTCGGATCTCGTTTCAGAAACGAGAGAGGAAGTCAGCTGTCTCGTAAAAAATCTTGTCGCACTGTCTGGAAATATAAGGTATGTACCGACATTGACACACTTTGGCATCAACCTCGATGATCTCGTTGGTCGTGATCTGTATCTTTTATTCTTTCATTGCTATACGTGCTTTATAAGATGACGTCGTATATAGTTTATTTTCCGTTATGCATAATGATTAAATATAAATGATGAAAAAAAATTTAGGATTTAGAAAATTTAAGAACGGTGTTGTGAGCTAGCGATTGCACGAATCCCTTTTAGAGCAGCGTTATATTACTTAAAACTAATTTTTTAATTAAATTTTCTTCTATTTTTATTATGACTGAAACTTTAATCTTGGAAAAAAGCAGCGAACCGTGCTATTAAGCCAAATTTATTTAATCTGGATTATTAATGCAAGTATATTTATTCGTGCATTTAATTATCCTTGCAACTTTGTGTCATTCGTATTTTTTGCTTCTAATAGAATTTTAATTTTATTTCCTCCTCGCCAAATTTAGGATTAGCAGATGCATCTGTTTGGCTGATCGTTCTTTTGATTCAATCAATTTGTTCGATGTGAGAAGACTTTTCGATGGTACTCTGATTCACGTAAACGTATCCTTGGAGAATGTTAGAACTGTATATGAAAAATAAGGGGGCGTAGAGAGAGTGACGTACCGTTCCATTCAGTCAAACACAACTCGTGACGACGCAAAGCGCCGAAATAGCGTCGGCGTCACTCACACGACTTGTCAGTTTCACAATACCGTAAAAGAATTTTCTCGTGACGACGTAAACATTCTTTTAACATTCCTGACTCGTTGACGCATCGTAACGAAATCTTGCACCTTTGTTGATTTGTTGAAAGATATATAAAATCGATTCGAAATCATATCATTCATAATTGATTGTGCGAGTTGTATTCGTCTCGCATAAATATTACAAAACAATATTATTATAGGCTGACAATCAGATTATTATATTTGACGATATTTAATTTATTTCTAAAGAATATTAGTATTATTTTATTGCGAGAAATTTTAATAATGTTGTTTGAAAACTTTTGAAAACTTTTCTTAATTAAACTTCTCATTTATAGCTATTACAGGCTTTTATGAATAGATTACCGTGTCAATGTCTCGTCGATCTTACGATGAGCATTATTGACTTTAAGGAGACCTTTTAATTGGGCGTACAGTTTAATTAATCAATCAGCATCATAAAAATCATATCATCAGTCATTACATCTCGTTAAATTCTCGTCTTACATCATCTCTAGATTCTTTTATTTCCAATTCACGTGTTCTGGTATTCATTTTAATCCGAAACATATATGTAACAGAAAATTTAATACCGTTTTAAATATACAGATCTTTTCAAAAGAATTACAGTAAAAAACTATGATAAAAAACAAATATTATTCTCGCATACGCGCCTATAAGTCTTCTATTTCCATCTTTCCTTTATAAATAATTTTATCGAAATACGTGCGTATAGGAATTTACGAGATTGTTCTTTCGCGGGGGTCGTTTATAAGGAAATGATCGTATAAGTTTATTAGTCATGTTCTGTTGCGAGGGCAATGATGATTCGTTTTGTGTCTTTTCCGACATCGCGAGTCGCCTACGCTTATGATATTTATATGAACAAATTCGAAGAGCGAGATCCCGTTTTCATATGACACATTTGTTTTAATATGAAAATAACTTTGATCACAATCTTTTAGAAAATTAATTTATTAATCAAAAATTTCCCCTCTCTTAATAGGAAATAATATATTTTTAATTTGATAATTAGTCTGGCGCATCCAAAACGCTTTATCAAATTTTACCGTGTTGTCTTTCCTTTCTTTTTTGAAAAAGATGGCCAAAAAATCCGTCATAAATCCGCGCATAATCAAGTATATCATTCAATTAAACGCTTCAACTATTTTAAATAATTTTAGGTCGATTCTCTCTGTCTCTTTTAATTTTTTGGAAAACAAAGAGATACGTAATATTGCGTATAAAATGCGACATCCATAAATGGCAAAACAAACGCGTTCTTTTTCATCCTACACGAAACGTAGGCGGCGGCGCTTTCCTTATTCTATCTTTATCGATTCGTCGTTATTGATACTTTGGCTTTCAGAGATTATGATAATATGATATAATTATATAATATATTATCATAATAATTTTTAATAAATTATAATATAACATTAATAATATAAATAATATATTATTTAAATAATATTATACTATTTAATAAATTATAATATAATTTAGTATAATTCGTCATTAATGTTTAATTAAATTAAGAATCGTGATCGAGAGTGTCAACTTTACGATGTTCGCTACGCGAACGAGCGACGAGCGACCGCGTGCGTAGTCACGAGAGAAGCCGAGCGCGCCCGAACTCCCACGAACGGCCTCGCCGGTGTCGCCGGCTACTTAAGGAGCTGCCGGCAGGAGTCGCGCTCATTCCTCTGGCGGGACGAGACACGCGTACACGATATCGTGATAGTTGCGATCGAATTGCGTTTAATCGAGCGCGGATCTCTCGTTTCAGTGATTCAGTGACAAGAGACACAAGTGTGCTAATCGGGCGAAAACATGGCTGACAGTGGTATCAAGCGCAACATTCCGATCAAGCTCGGCGACTTCAGCGTGATCGACACCGAGTTCTCCAACATACGCGAGCGCTTCGATGCCGAGATGAGAAAGATGGAGGACGAGATGTCGCGATTCCGTAGTGAGCTGATGAACCGCGAGAGCAACAACTTCTTCAAGAGCACCACCAGGTATGCGTATAAGAGATCGTGAATTCTTTTGTGATACGCCTAACCTATATTTCGAAAGAATGCGGTTACTTTTTTATCTCTCTCTTTCTCTCTCTCTCTCTCTCTCTCTCTCTCTCTCTTTCTCTCTCACGACACTCGCGCGTCTCTTTGCAATTTATGTATATATATGCGTAATATTTTACTCAATTGTGCGAAAATTTTCTTTTTGTTACGACGTACATACAATATCCTTGAGCTATTGAATGTTTGTTTACGTTGACGTTCGACGAATGGTATGTTTACGCGCGCAATGCCAGTATATATATTGCGTATGTTGAGATCACATAACTCGAGAAAAATTATACGCGAATAAAATTACTATATCTTGTCATGTATGTTATACAATATATATATCGGTATATTGAGAAAGAGACAGGGAAGGATCGATTGTACGTTACAAACGAATAATACGGTTGACATTGAAAGTATTGATTTTTCCGTATTCCAAAACGCACAGTACATATAATATAAAATTTGTTGTAGTTGTGTTGTTGCGACAAAAAGATCAGAAAAGTTCAAAGCGATCTTTGTTTCAGTATTTTTACATTTTCGTTCTTGCAAATTTTTTATTATTTGCGCTTGATCATATTAATATGCGATAGTATTTATATATGCTTCATAACAGGTTTTAAATTTATATGCTCCAATGTGAGAGCAACTTCAGTTTCTTTGATCACGCGGCGACGCATGTCGCATTCAAATTATCTACGATCAAATATCCAATTTATCCAATGATTATTGACGGTTTCTAACAGAGTATACGCATCATTTTATAATATATTTGAAACAAATCTTTTTCTTTCTTTCGTACAATGTGAAGTTTTACGATGGCTTTCGATGGCTGATATTTATAAATTCCATTTTTAGAGGGTTAGAGGAAATTACTCATCTACCGATCGATCGTAAGCGTTTTCGTAGAAAAGCAAATTATTTTTTAAAGCGATGATTTATACTTGATATATATATA